TAGCTAAAACGAAAAAAAAAAAAAAAAAAAAAAAAATATATATATATATAACAAATACCAACAAATATTATCAATGTTTAGTTAATAATATAATATTACAAAAAAAAAAAAAAATAAATAAATAAATAAAATGATTTTTATGATTGTTTTTATATAATATGCATACAAAAAAGAAATAAAGAATAAAAAAATGATCAAATTTATAACACTAATACAAAAAAAAAAAAACAATTATAAAAAGAAAAACTCTTAAAATTAAATCACAAAAACTGTTTCCATCGATGTATTATTTATATATATATATAATAAACTTTAAAAAAAAAAAATATATACATATATATATATATATATATATATATATATATATATTTATAAAATTAATATATAAATATATCTGTTCTTTTTAATTTATAATTTTTTTTATCAATTATTGTTGATAATAACTGATTGTAATGCTTTTTGCAACACATTTGTATATTTGTTCATAGCCTAATAAAAAAAAAAAAAAAGTAAAAATAATTAAATGCATTTAAATGCTTAATTTTTTTATTTTTTTTCATTTTTCTCCTTATTTAAATATAAAATGAATAAAAAAATAAATTATGTTTATTAAAATATCTTAGTGAACATTATAAAATTATTATTGTATATTTTATTTGTATTTAATAAATATATTCACAAATTTATAATTACTTGTATAATATCATCATCAGACTGTTCTCTTGCTTTGATCGTTAAAGCAAGAGCATCTTTGATCTCTTCAATTTCTTCAATAAAAATATTTTTGAAGTTTATATCTTCGTTATAATCATAATTAAGCAATTTTTCACTTTCATTTTTAAGGGCAATCAAATCTTCTTGCTTAAAACATATTTCACTTTGAATTTTACTACATATATAAGCACTAATGTTTTCTATCTTTCCATATAATATGTTATCTCTCTTTTTTTTATTATTTATATATTTATTTACAACAATTTGAAAATCGGATATTTCTCTTTTTAAACTAATCATTTCTGTTTGAATTTTTGTAGGAAGATCAACTTTTATTTCTCCTATAATTTTTTCTAATTCTTCACATCTTTTTATAATTTTATCTAAATCAATCGAAATATTTTCAATTTTCGTTGTTATTTTATTTAATACATTATTTATCATATCATTAGCCATATGCTCTATTAATTGTTGAATATTTTTGTTTGCTTCAATTCGTTTTTTAACTTCCGTATTTATATTCCTTTCAATTCTTAATATATCATATTTTATCTCTTGATAAAAATTCTCTCCGTCTATTTTTTTATTCTTTTTTTCTTCGAAAAAACTTGATTCATTTAAAAAATTTACGTCATGTATTTTATTCCTACTTATATTTAAATCATAAGGAAAATTTTCATCAGATATATTAGAGCTTTCACTATTTTCAATCATAATGAAATTCACTAATTGAAAAATATATATATTGTTGTAAATGTGTAAAAATGTACTAACATATAAATAATTCTTAAAGTATTTATTTACAGAACATAAAAAAAAATTAAAAAAATGTAAGATTCAAAAAGATTTAACACACTGAAAAAAAAAAAGCAAATAAAGAGAATATGCCAAAAAAAAAAAAAAAAAAAAAAAAAAAAA